GCAAGAACAATGATTTTGTAAAGTATTACACCTAACTTGGGAAGGAATGGAGAGCATTATGCTAGATGAACTAACTCAATTCCATAAGGACAAATACTATATAAGACCATCATTGTAGAACATGTATGAGGATCCAAGGCGAGGGGGAAGGGGGAAGGGTGGGGTGTAATCATAGGGTCACACAATTTGATGGGTGGAGGGAGGAGAGAGTAAAGGAAATGGGAAAAATCCAGTGTGAAAAAACAATGTATATGAACTTTGTAAGTAAACCAGTATAAAATAAAAATTTTATTTAAAAAAAAACCCAAACCTATGCTAAATAAAATATCTAAATTGTGGTAAACAATATCTCACCTAATAAATCTAATTAGATTTGACTTCTGAGAAATATGATTACTGGTTCAAATTCAGGAAATAATGCCACCCTGTGGTCTAACTGTATACTTTGACAAATGTGAAAGATCTTTGCCAAGTCAGCAACTTAACAATAAATACTATGCAATATTGGCATTCAAGATTCAGATAGTTCAAATGTGCAAGTAGGACTCTAATGTGTTTTCTACTTTGTGATAAAAACAGTATTACACAATAGTTATCTACAAGGTATGTACCAGACAAAGTACATGGTACAGTATAGAGAAAAGGAACTATATCCACATCAATCTGTACCCTTTTGAACTTGCTGTTGTACTTACTGTTTATGCCATTCATTTGAAGCTGACTTACAGTTTTGTGTAGGTATGTATGATAAACTATCTTTCCAGTAACACCTTGGATTCCTTAAGGCAGGAACCATTCTTTAAAATATTAAATTTAGGGTTTTGGCCAATTAAAACATGCAAAAACTGCTATAAAGGATTTCTCTTGCTTGCTTTCTAGCCATAGTTTGCATCCCAGTTCTTATTTCCTAGGGGTATATTCCTAGCAATGGAATAGCTGGGTCATATGAGATATCTATTTTCAGCTCCATCCTCACTAGCTCTTAATGTACTCAAGCCTATGGTTACAGTTTGTGTGTCAATCCATCTTGTTTGGGGTCTGCTTCTCTTTATCTGATCATCCACATTCCTCAGCATGAAGTCCTTTTTCAAGGACTATTTTCTCCTGATAACATGCCTACAGCGTGTGAGATGAAGTTTCACCATCCTTGCTGCTAAGGAGCACCTTAGCTGCACTTCCTTCAAGACAGACTTGTTAGGGTTGCACAGTTTGGTGGAAGGAGGGAGGGGTGAAGGAAATGGAAAAGATCCACCAGGGATTAAAAGATCGAGTAACAACAGGTAAGACTGATTTTATAAAATATATATGGGAATTATATATTTATAAAAAATATATGGGAATGATTGTGTGAAACACAATATGAATGAAGTGTAGGTTAAAACACAATGTATATTAATTTTGTAAGCAAACCAACACAAAATAATTTTTTTTAAAGAAAAACAGGCTTCTCTGTTCTTTTGGAAGTCCACAAGACAATACTCTTTGCCAGAACCACAATTCAAAGGCACCAATTCGCCTGTCATCCCTATTCACTGTCCAAAAAGATGGATAGGAAGCAAGTGAAAATATCACAGCTTAGATCAGGTACACCTTAGCCTTTAAAATTATATCCTTACTCTTTAGCACTTTGGAGAGATCCTTCACCTCTCCCAATGCAACTTATCTTTTGATTTCTAGACTGCTGGTACTAAGGACACTGATTGTGGATCCAAATAAAATAAACTTCAATCTTTTTTGCCTCTATCACGATGTTGACTATTGGTCCAGTAGTGAAGACTTTGATCTTGATGCTGACTCAGAATCCATACTGAAATCTGCAGTCCTTGATCCTCTGAAGTAAGTGCTTCAAGTCTTCTTCACTTTCTGCTAGGAAAATTGTGTCATCTACATAACACAGGTTGCTGATGAGTCTTCCACTAATCCTGATGAGACATTCTTCTTCACATAGTTCAGTTTCTCAAATGATTTGCTCAGCATACGTACTGAATAGGAATGGAGAAAGAACATAACAATAGTGTACACCTTCCATGATTTTTCAACCCTTGTTCTGTTTAGACAACTAATTCTTGGTTTATTTACAGGTTTCTTAGGAGCACAATTAAGTATTTTGCTGATTTCCATCCTTTTCAATGTTAGCTAACATCTGATACGATCCACACAAATGTCCTTGCATAGTCAATAAAACACAAGTAAACATTATTGTGGTATTCTCTGCTTTCAGCCAAGATTCATCTGACACCAGAAACAATAGACCTCAAGACACGGCTTCTTCTGAACACAGTTTGAATTTCTGGAAGGTCTGTTCTGATAAACTGTTCCAGTTATTTTTTAGTAATTTTTCAGCAAAATTTCACTTACTTGTGATATAAATTATATCATTCAATAATTTTTACATTCCACTGGATTATCTCTTTTTGGAATGGGAAAAAAAAACATGCATCTCTTCCATTCAGTTGGCCAGGCAGCTGTCTTCCAAATTTCCTGGTACAGACTGGTGAGCACATAGAGGGCTGCATCTTTATTTAGAACATGTCAGCTGATATTTCATCAATTTCTGGGACCTTATTTTTTGCCAATGCCTTCAGTGAAGCTTGAATTTCTTCACTGCTATTGGTTCCTGATCAAATGTGGGACTATAGAGACATATAAAATTATATAGAAAATGAAACTGTTCTTTGGTACTCCAGTCTCCTCTTTGATAATCTTTGTAACAGTCCCCCCATCTCTGTATCCTCCAATTCCCTCTAGTGGTGGAAAGGGTTAACTACAACGTTCTACCCAGGCAGTTTATCAAATTGTTTTAATCCTTTGCAGTTCTTGTCATGTATCATTGAGTTGGAAATGAAATATAGCTGATAGTGGGTTTTCAGAGGCAGTAAAGCACATGGGATTTGATTGTCCATCTTTTCCCCAGGAACATTTGGAGGATTCCAAATTGCTTAGAGTGCAATTCCTTACCCCTAGGCCACCAGAGTTCCCTAACAGCCTCTTTTTCTTGATTTCCTTCTAATATTGTTACCCTTTTGATTGTTGTTTTATGCCATCAAGTTGCCTGCAACTCATAGTGACCCTATATACAATAGCTCTGAAGCCTGCCCTGTCCTGAGCCAGTCTCGCTGACACAATACACCTGTCCCCACTGCCCTCATTACTGTAGCTATCCATCTCATCCAGGGTCTTCCTCTCCTGAGCTGTCCCTCCACCCTCCAAACATAATGTCCTTCTCCAAGTATTGGTTCCTCCTGGCCACATGCCCAAAGTACGTGAGACGGAGCTTCAAAATTCTAGCCTCCAAGAAGAAACTTGGCTTCACCCTCTCCAAAACAGACCTAGTTGTTTTCTTGGTGGTGAATGGTATGTTCAAGACTATTCTCTAGCAGCACAACTCAAAGGCATCAATTCTTCTTCCATCATTCTTAGTCATTGTCCAGCTCTCTGATGCATAGCCAGCAATTGGAAGAACATAGTCTGGAGCACGCACACCTTAATCTCTAGAATGACATCGTTGCTTCTCAGTACTCTGGAAAGGTCCCTGACAGCAGATTTACCTAATGCAATTCACTTTTTTTTTTTTGCAATTCACCTTTTGATTTCCTGACTGCTGGTGCCAAAAATGTTGATTGTGGAGTCGAGCAAGCTCAATCTCTTCTCCATCCATTATGGTGCTGCCAATTGGCCCAGTGCTGAGAATCTTTGTCATCTTTATGTTGAACTTCAATTTATATTGAAAACTATAGCCTTTGACTTTCTGCAGTTCCTCCTCATTTTCAGCAAGCAAGGTTGTATCATCCACATAACATAGGCTGTTAATGAGTCTTCTTCCAATCCTGATGCCACATTCATCCTCATAAAGCCCAGCCTCCCAAACGATCTGTTCTACATATAGATTGAAAAGGTAGGGAGACAGGAAACATCCCTGAGGCACTCCTTTCCTGATTTTGAACCATGCTGTGTTTCCTTGCTCTATTCTGAGGACTGTTTCCTGGTCCAAATACAGGTTTCACATAAGCACAATCAAGTATTCTGGGATTCCCATTCTCAAAGTTAACCAGTTCATCAAATGCCTTTGCAGAGTCAATGAAACATAGATAAATATCCCTCCGGTACTCCCTTCTTTCTTCCAACATCCACCTGACATTGGCAATAATCTGTTTAGTGCCATGGCCTCTTCTAAACTCACTCTTCCCTATATCTCCTAAATTATCTTTATATAAAGTAAATCTTAAGTAACTTCATTACTTAAGTTCTAACAAAAGCTGCCTGAGAAGCTTCAGGGAATGCCCTCCTTACCACTCCCTTATCACTTAGTCTAGCTACAAGTCTTAAGTCTTTGTCTTATACCTCTGCTGATGGTATTCCCAATACTGTTTCCTTTCAGTATTACATCTTTGTTTTCCAGCACCTGGTACACTGATTATTGAATGCACAAAGCACTTCACACTTCTTGACTGCTTCTCCATACCAAAAATAGACTTGAAGTTCATTTTCTCAGGGAAGGAAAGGAGGAGGAGCTGGATCCATTCAGTTGTGCTGCCAAATGCAGAATGAGAAATGAACTCATACTAAGATACTATATGCTGAGAGAAGCTTCATATGTAACCTACAAGTCCCATTCTCTATTAATAGAATTTGTGGTAATTAAATGGACTAGGGAGAAAAAGGCTAAAAATTGGCTGAAAGTACTTCTGTCACAAGTACGTAATAACTGAAAATTTGACCACTTCCAAACAGAAGAAAGCCCACGGTGATTTGGGCAGTTTACCCTTAATTCAGTTAGAAAGACTTCACTAGTCTACAGTGACTAAGAGGAACTACAAGGAGACAGATTCTTGAATCACATTTCTGGTCTTCGGTGATTCAAAATACAGAGTTAATCAACCACTGCCAATGTTGAAATACACCATATAGTATTCAATTCATCTGCCTTTATGAGTGTAGCTGATGAGAATTCTTTGATACACACTACAAGTAAAAAGAAAAAATATGTATACATACTTCAGACTTTAATATATTCTTCAGCTTGTTAACTTCCAGATTGGTGTCTTGGACCTTCTGTTTTATGTCATTTAGTTCATTATGAGTATCATTCAATTTTTTGGTTAACACCTAAAAAGAAAAAAGATAGCTAGATTTGACTATAAAATATTCTAAATTCCTGTATGTCAGTAACATAAATATTCGCAACATAAGAAAAAAATAGTATGTTTACTACACGAGGACTCTCCTTCATAGGGTCGCTATGAGTCGCCTGTGACTCGATGGAACTTAACAACAATAAGATCAACATAGAGAGATCAGCTGGCCCAGTGGACAGAAGGCGATAATACCAAGCTGAAGGTGGGTGACTTTTAATCTGCGGCCATCGGGCCTGTCTTTCACTGTTTTTGTTTAGACATTCCTCTAGGTCGTATAGCCCTGGTGTACAAGTTGCAGTACAGCAGTAACTTGTGGTTGCCATGAGGCTGAACACTGTGACACTGACGTGTCAAATGTGTTAATGGTTGGTTACCCAATGCAAACAGAGAGTGGGGTGGAACTCTCTGATTAAAACAAGCTTGGAAGGAGGAGTGGCATCCACTTCCATAATAGCTTGCCTCTGGAAACCCTATGAACCTGGAGAGAGGATGAGAGAGATCCAAGCATCGAGGACTCTCCTGCATAGGGTCTCTATGCAACTCGATGGCACTTAACAACAACAATAACAACAACTATATATACTTACCATATAATACTAATAAAATTAATCAATTCAAAACTTCTAGTAAGAACAGGAAGCTCTGGTGGTCTAGTGTAAGGAGTTGAGCTGCCAACTTTAAGACATGTGGTTTGAATCAGCCAGCTGCTCCACAGGAGAATGATCACCAGTCTCCTCCTGTGCAATTAACAGCCTCTGAAAACCCACTATGGGTCAGTTCTGATTCAACAGCACATTACTACAGCCGCAGCAAATGAGCACAGGATGAGAGAGACAACTGACAAACAGGAAGTGAAATGGGTATTTTATCTACTGTGCACAATTAACATCTTGGTAAAACTATTTACTAGTAACAAAGGAAATGCTGATTTTAAAAATAAATTAACATGTTTGCCTATTAAATTAACAGGGACTAAAATTATTCTGTTATGGCAAGGAATGGACATTTTCCTATATTCCTGGAGGAAATGTAAATGTGGAAAAAATCTGTTATCTCAAAAATAAGAAAAATGTTATTGAAAGTGGGAGATGAGTTCAAAAGGATTCATGATATTCTAAAATGTTCATCTGAAAAGGATTTTTTTTAGTTAAAAAAACACTCAAAAGCTTTTATTTATATGAAATGAAATGAAATCTTTTGTTGTTATGTGCATCACCTGCATACTTGAACCCACTGCTACAATCACCATCTTGTTGAAGGTCTTCCTCTCTTTCACTAATCTTCCAACATTCCAAGCATGATGTCCTTTTCCAAGGTCTGACTCCTCCTAACAACATGTCAAAAGTATGAAACAGGTAGTTTCATCAACTTTGCATCTAAGGAACCCCCTGATTGTACTTTCTCTAAGATATTGTGTTTGTTCTTTGGGCGGTACATGGTATCTTCCGTATGCTTCTCCAGAAAAACAACTGAAAGGCATTGATTCTTCAGCCATCTTTAGTCACTGACCAATTTTCAGACACATGAGTAATTGAGAAGATCATGGCTTCGATCAGGTACACCTTAGTTTTTAAACTGACATCTTGCTCTTAAGGACCCTGGAGAGATTACTGAGAGCAGATTTCCCCAATGGAACACTTCTCTTAATTTCTTGATTGCTGATATCAAAAGTGTTTATTGTGGACTCAAGCAAGATGAAATCATTAACAACTTCAATCTTTTATCATCTGCCGCTCATTGGTCTAGAGGTGTTGTTACTCTTATGTGCTGTTGAGTCACTTGCAACTCATAGCAACCCCATGTACAAAAGCCCCAAACCCTGCTCTATCCTGTGCCAACCTCACTGTCTATGACATACCTGCTCTCATTACCCCAATCATTGAATCGATCCATCTCATCAAGCATCTTCCTCTCTTGTGCTGTCCCTCCACCCTCCGAAACATGATGTCCCTCTCCAAGAACTGGTCTTTCTTTGCAACATGTCCAGAGTATGTCAAACAAAGCTTCAGACTCCTTGCCTTGAAGGAGCAGCACAGTTTCACCCTCTCCAGGACAATATATATTCAACACTCATCTCCAGCACCACAACTCAAAGGTATCAATTCTCTATCATCCCTAGTCACTGTTAAGCTCTCTTGACGCATAGCATGCAACTGCAAAGACTATAGCCTGGAGCAGGTGCACCTTAGTCTCCACCCCGATGTCACTGCTCTTCAGCACTCTGGAGAGGTCCCTCACAGCTGACTTTCCCAATGCAATTCATCTCTCATCTCTGGATTTCCTGGCTGCTGGTACCAAGATTGTGGAGCCAAGCAAACTAAAACTGTGAACTATCTCAATCTCTTCACTATCCATCCTGATGCTGCCAATTGCCCCAGTAATGAGAATCTCTGTTTTCTTGATGTTAAGCTTCAATCCATATTGAAGGCTGCAGTCCTTGACCTTCTGCAGCAGCGTTTCAGGTTCTCCTCGGTTTCAACAAACAGGCTTGTGTCATCTGCATAACATGTTGTTGATGAATCTTCCTCCAAGCCTGATGCCACATTCCTCCTCGTACAGCCCAGTGTCCCAGATGACCTGTTCTGCATATAGATTGAAAAGGTATGGAGACAGAATACATCCCTGGTGGACACCCTTTCTGATTTTGAACCATGCAGTGTCTCCTTCCTCTGTCCTGGCGACTGCCTCTTAGTTCAAAAATAGGTTTCACATAAGCACAATCTAATGTTCTGGAATTCCCATTCTTCTCAGAGTCAACCACAGTTTCTTGTGATCCACACAGTCAAAAG